TATAAAAAACTCAAAATAATTATGTGGTTCACATAAAAGAGCTCCGGATTCACAACGGTTCCCGTTCCCTAGTTTATAAAACATTCAGTAAAAAAAAAACAAAACAAAACAAAATTTATATATTAAATTAATTTATATGGTTAGGATATTGTAATTAAAAAATAAATATTAGTAAATTTTTTATAGTAAAACAAATTTATTAATTGATAAATAATATATTTATAAATCCTAAATTATTATAGTTGATTTTCATATATTAATATATATTATTGAGTAATTTAGTATCAAAAAAAAATTAATAATTTTTAAAGTTAGCATTTATAATAAATACCATTATTTAATACATTTTTATGAGAAGAATCCAATAAACTAAATTATATTTTTCAGCAATCATTAGATAATAAATTGTTTTAAAGGTTTAAAATAATTTAAACTAATATAATTTTTGATTTATTGATACTAAAAATATAGGAGTGGTTTGTCTTCCATTTTTTTTTTTTTTGAACCATTTTATAAAGTTATAAAACTCTTTCGCAAATATAATATAAAAGAATGCAAATCAAGTTATTTTGAGTTGCACAATTATTATAAAAAATTTCGTACGTGTAACGGTAAGTTCTTATAAGAAAAATGAGTTATTTGATGATCAATAAATTTTTTTCGCATCATCTTTTCTTAAAGAAAAAAAATATTCTTTAGATAATGGATAACATTTCATTAAATCAGAAAGCAAATTTTGCTATAGCTTCACGTTTGTTAGCGAGTGTAATAAATGAAGGAATAGTAAATGCCATATTTCAATCAAATCATAATACGCCAAATAACGTTACTGAGTCCAAAAAATCTGGAGAAATGATCGTTTTACCAAATTTCGAAAAAACCTATTTTAATAATGAAAATTGCATCATTTCGATTCCAACTTTACATAAGCCTATTACATCAGCATTTATTCAACGTCTCGATAAAGTTGAGTTAATCGATCCATGGGATATTAATTATCCTATTAACATAATAAAATTTAAAGAGCCATTATCATTTCGAAACGGAGATATTGAATCATCTATGAAATTTATCTTTTCATCATTAAATAGTAATGATTCAATTGAAGCGATTTCTCCCGTTGAATTAATGAGAATATTTGGTGCCTGGATGAAATTAGATGATGACATCGTTAAACAAGTTAATGCAGAACTTGATAGTTCGGTTCAATATCAAGGTTAGCATTTTAATCATAATTTGATTTCTCATATTTAACAAACTGACTAACTTTTTATTAGCATACACATATAAAAATCATAATCATCAACTATCTTTGCTCTCTTCAAGTATCGAATGGGAGCAAAGTTTACTCGAAGGCCATGCAACACATCCGGTATTCACAATTCAAGCTTCTTGACCACATGATCTCTAATCTATTTATCTTTTATTTAACATCATTTTTTTATCTTCGATAAGATGAATAAGGCACGTCTTGCTATAACACCAATTCCGGAAATTTTACCCGGAACGTATGATTTCACAAGTCCATTAATTCGTTTTGTTGAAGTTCCACTTGACAAAATGGTGATTCGAGGTTCATATATAAAAACCATTGAAAAGATCTTAAAATTGACTTCGTCATCACCTCCAACACCTTCAGAAAATACAATCATAATGCCAGTACATGAATTACAAATTCCAAATATTATATCAAGATTTCCATTCGTTAAGATTTTACCAGGAAAATATTTTATCAAAGCAAAAAGTCAAGCTTCGCTTAGAACTGTTATTATACCAAATTTGGATGATATAGCTATTAAACTTACATTAGGCATAAAAGTTACATCAGCATTACGTACTATTACACCTTGGACGGTTCATTCTGGTACAGGACTTGGAAATGTTCTTGATAAACTTGAAATTGATCGAAATTTGTTAAAAGTGTGTAAAGAATTTGCTGGTGTTTATCCTATTGAAGAAAATTATGATATAGCTAAACATTTATCTTGCATTATACGAGAAGATTTCAATGGTCAGAATTCTGACGGTGAAAGTGTTATTGTTTGTTCCGCTTTAACTGAGAGAGATGAATTTGGTAAAAGTGTTGTGGAAAGAGTTTGTAATTTAGACACTTTGCAAAAACGAGTCGATTTTCTTAATAGGTAAGTAATGTCATTTTATAAAGAAAGGAACAATTTTTTTTTTAATTTCTTTTTTTTTTTTGTAAATTTACGATATAGATATGTTCATATTTTATTTAAAGCATTCCTTCCAGCAGTTTTGGTTAATGGATTTTCATTTGAGAGTCATCTACAAAATGTCTTGGCAAGATTTGATTCCAAGAGCGGACAACTCGTTGGCTTCGTTGTTAGAGATTATGGCGGTATCAAACATCATCAAGATACACTTTTCGCGAGTATCGGAGAACGAGCTAATGTACTAAAAGATAATGTTACGGAAGCAAAGGACTTAATTGAGGTAAGCCATAAGTCGAGCATTCTTTTATGGTTAAATCACGACAAATGGGATTTACCTTTTTTTTCCTCCCTGCTTGATAGGTTTATGATTTGTTATATCATACATTGATATTATGTCACGTTCATCGTTTCGTTCGCGCATTACACCTTCATTATAATGGAATTGGTTGGGATATTGTTAGAAAACATTTTAAACAAATTGTTCCGAAAGATCATTTATTATATAAAACTTTTCTTGAACAAGATAAAATCAATAACAAATGTTTTATTAGGATGAAATGCGATGGATTATATAGAGATGTAAGCATAAAAATATAATTATTATTATCCTCCTTTTTTTTTATATCAACATTAAAAATCTTTTCTTTTTTTAAATTAATTTTAGTATATTTATCGACCAAACCCAAATTTGATGATTTATAAAGGAGAATAAGCATCATACCGATAAAAAATTACTAGTTATCATTAAAAAATACATGTAGTTTTTTTTTATCTTGATTATTGTTCCGAATAGTCGTTGGACTTAACAAACTAAATAAATATTAAAAGGCCCGAACTTGATTATGTAACGTGCCAAATAATTTAAAATAATAATTTATTATAATTTAATATTTTTTTTTTATATAATATTTATATTAATACTATTGAAGTATTATTAATATTATATATAAGGATGAACCAATTGAAACGGATTATGATTATGATTATGATTATTCTTTTTGATGAGGGAAATAAATGTTGCATCAATTCATTTCCAACCTCACAAAGAATTTCTTCCCTTTCTCCCGAATCCTTTCAGGATTTAATAATGTTTTTGACAGTGAATTTGTTTGAAATCTTGAAGGACACCAAGGTTTTCATATTTTTGACAAATATTATTAATACCTTTAAATACCGTACATGAACTTTCCCAATAAAAACTGATAGGTTTGTAAGATTTTTTCCTGCGATTCTCAAAGAAATATTCTAAAGAGGTTGAAGTAATTTTCCAACCATGTATTATCGCCAACCTTTCTAATTCATTCGCCGATTTAATGGTAATCTCATTAAATAATAAATCAAAGTTCATTCTAGGAACAGGTGAAAAACACCTCGTGGTAGAAGGATGTAAATATAATTCGGATAATTGTAAACAGGATTCGAATAATTTACCCAATTCCTCAACATTTTCGGATTGTACTGGACCATCAAAATATTTTAATAAAGGACAATTTTCAGCTATGGAAGTCAATAATAAATCTGATTTCTCGGGATCAAATATTTGACAACCATGAATTGTGATGTGACGTAAATTATTCCCGGAATTTTTTATAAAGTTCACGAAAATTTCCAAATAAATTGGAAACTTGCTTTCAAAGTAAAGTTTTTCCAGGTTTTTTAAAGAAACCTTTGTTAAAGGTAACCAATCACTTTGTTGAAAATTCTCATGACCACAATATTTTAAACTTAATTCAACTAAATTATTAAAATTACTTAAAGATTCCAAAGGGAATTCCTTTTTATCTAATTCCAAATGAGTTATTGAATGGGATTTTTCCATTAAAGCCGAACCGATAGCCCCTTCAACCCAAGGATCAAAATGAACGGAAGAGTTTATCTTATTACAAAGGGTTAATTGCCTCAAATTTCTCTGTGCTCTTATTAATGATGACAATTCTACCGTAATGTGAAATAATGTTAGATCTAATTTTTCTATAAATCGAGCGACTTTTCCAAGTTCATAAAATATGATATCCATGACTTGATGTTCATCCCAATATGACACGAGTTCTTTTAAATTTGCCAAACACGTTTTTGGTTCCGGAATTTGCTCTATGGAATTTCTGATCAACTCTGCAGTATCCGAATTATTTATTCTAAGGATATGTATGCAACGTGAATTTCTAAAAAAATGATTTAATAATTGTTGTAAAATAAATTGAAATTGTTTTGAATTATAATGGTTTTGTTGCTTTGTTATGGTCATCTGCTGAATCCAAGCTCTGACGAAAACGAATAAACATCTCATATCGATGACCCTTAGAAAGGTCGCATAATTAAAGGTCGGATTCCGTTTTGTTGTCGTTGATAAATTTATCCCCTTATCCATGAAAGATTGTTTTATGTCGGGGGGTAACGTTGACAAATATATATTGATTATCAAATATCCTTCAAATGATTCATAGTTATTAAATTTTTTTCGTATCTTTAATGTATTACTCCATAACATTGGAATGGCTGTTTGACACCAAAATCTATCAACCAAAGTACACGAGCGCAACGTCGCGTAGTCCTCCTCAAGGTATTCAAATATTCTTAATAAACAATCTGAATGAAGAAGATTTGATATGGTGACAAATGCGCTATTCCTGATTGATCCTCTCATGGTTGACGAGAAATTGAATGATTTGTTACGATAACTGAACGGTTTTTTTGTTTTTACTGACTTTTGTGATTCAGGTTTAAACAGTCGACACTTCAAATAAAGAAGAATTAAAAGAATAGCATTATTATTGAATTAAAAGGAAATGTGACCTCTATCTTCCTTTTTTTTTAAAAAAAAAGAAAAGAAAAATTGTAACTTTACCAGTCGCATAAAAACACCACAAGTCATAATTGCTGTTTTATTCTAATAAGATTACGAAAAAAAAAAGGATGAATATAATTTTTTATGTTTAGTTAGCGTAATGTAAAGGAAAAGTGCATAAATTTCATTCAAATTCTCAGAGGATAGCTCGAAAAATAATATTTTACAAATTTTTTATTTATTCAGAGATAAACTGTTTTTAATTAATTCTTTTAATTCTTAGCTTCAAGCTAGACTAATGAAAAATATGAAACCGAAAAAATGTAATTCAACCAAAAAGGTTTCAAATTGAAACGAGAACATTTTAGAGTTCTCCTCTTTGATTGTAACACCAATTCATATTTATTTATATAAAAAAAAAATTATGATACATTTCGCATAACATGAATTGTCACCAAAAAAGGATTGTCGAGATGCATCCATTCGGTCTATAAATTCCGGTATTTTATTGGGATTAATCTCAAATTCGGGAGGGCATTAAGGATCTCCGTTTATAGAAATGAGTAGGGAGGGAATACAATATATAAATATTTATACTTTCTGAGGGTGATGTAGTATATAGGATTTCCGTTCGTTGTTATTGTTGTGCATTTTGTTTTTACGCCAGATTTTTTATAGAATGGCTCTTTTTTTGGTTTCTGTGAAAAAAAAACGGTTAAATATATATGCACACACAAAAAAAAAAGTACAAAAGCGTAACGATATCATATGCCACAATCAATTCGCTTCACGAATAACATTATACAAATTTTATTTTATATTACATAACGAAAAATCTTTTGCCGCGGAAATGGGAATTTTTACTTTATACGTTAAAATACGATTTTTTGGAAGGTAAAAAAAAAATAATGTCCAGATCCGGCATTAAGGTCAAAAAAAAAAAATTTCGATAGTTTCCGCTTTACGGAAAGATGCACATAAACTTTAAAAAATATTTTGTTATGTTACATTGTTTTTGACTAAGGTAACACACCTTATCAAAATAACTATTAATATGTGTAAATTCTGTTAAGGTTTCAGCCATTGTCACCAAAATCACTTTAAATTTCCATAAAAGAAAAGAAAAAAAAATAAATTTTTGACAATCGAGACATATTAAAAAAAATGTAGATTCGAGTGTATAATTGCATAAAAACATAAACTGTTTGGTATACTAACTTTATTTAGATTTCAGCGTAAGATTAAAAGAAAATGTGAATATCTACCATATGTGTACTGCATATAAAAAAACGCACACTTTAAATTGAAGTGAAGCGAAATAAAAAAAAAACTAATATATAGAATTTCTTTTTTTTAGACGACGAAAAAAAAAAAAAGAATTCATTCGAAAATATTGATAATACGTGATACATTAGGTTCAAAGTTATGGTCTCATTTTTAGCTCATAGAAAAGAAAGTAGTTTTTTTTTTTTTAAATTTACATCCATAATTATTGTCACAATATTGTGAGAATATTTTTTTTTTATCTGAATTAAATTGAAAAAAAAGAAAATAAAAATAAAAAAATAAAAATAGAAATAAAAATAAAAATACGAAAGAAAAATAAAGATAAGATAAAGGATAAAGGAAAAAAAATAAAAATAAAATAGAAAAATGTACATATATTTTGTGACATTAGACCATTGTATTTTAATAATTTTTAATAACGGAATCGTGTACGGAACGAAAATATCGAATCGATATATGGATATTTAATATTTTTTTTTAAAGGAGCGAATAATTCATTCTGAGAATGAAAGTTGGAATGACTGAGAGATGAAGTTCTTATAAATTGAATTCGATCAATTTTCTATAGCTCTCTCATACTTGACTATACTTGACGAATTTGAAGAGTGGGATTCGATTTTTTTTTTTATTCGATAAAAAATGAAGAATTGGCATCGAAATATCGCTCTTTTATAAGTTATTTTCTTTCTTTCTTTCGGAATATCTTATAGGTTTGTTTAATAAAAGTGTCTCTTCATGATGATAAATATTTAGAAATTGTCCCAATACAAAAAGATATTTTTAGTCGATAGTTTTAAGATGAAAAAGTGATCTGCGACGATAATTGGTGCGCAAGAAACATAGCCGTTCAACGCTTAAAACAAACAATCGCTTAACATCACGATCACATATAGACATGTATTTTAAAATATAAATATAATTAATCCAAAAGGGTGTAATACAATACTCCATCGTTTATTCTTTCTTTGGAATCTCTGAATAAGATCATGCAAGATTCTAATTAGTTCCTTGAATGGGTCAAATCTATTTACGTTCAGGATTACATTCAACGAAAACATTTTTATTGATAAAAAAAAATTTTTTTAGCTCAGGAATAACTTGTTCTACATATATATCAAATAACTCTTCTTTTTTTTGGTGGTCTGACAAAATAAGAACCAATGTAACAATAAATATTTTATTTTTAAACATCCAATATAATTCGTGCGCGCATTCACAATTATTGATATCTTTTCAAACAAATTCAATAATGTATAAACGCGTCGAATTTCCCTAAAAAACGTAGATTGGAAAATACAACTTCACCAATTATAGTAAATGAATATTTCGCGCGTACACTGAAGAATATTTAGATCAAGTACAAGTACAAGATCCGAATTTTTTGTCCAAAGAAAATAATTATTGATGATCTAAAAAAAAAGTGTTCGCGTAATATCGAACGATACATTATGTTTAAATATAAAATAATTTACACGAAATATTTTTTCGTGAACAAATAGAAATCGAAAGAGAAAAAAAATGTTTATTATGTTTATATTTATGTAGTATTCCTTAATTATTTTTGGATTTTTTTATAAAAAAAAAAATTGATATTGTTATTAATCTAAAAATCCAAATAAATTAATGTATATAGAGTAAATTAAGTAAATTATTTATTAATAATTGTCATTCTATTTATAGTAGGGGGAATACCCTATGTTTCAATTTTTTGACTTTTGATGGGATTTTTAATATATGGGACCTATGGGACCTTTGTAATAGAAAGGGGGGAAACTACCAAGAAAAATAAATTTTACTTTATATGTCAAATATGATTTTCAAGTCGAAATATATTCAAATTTAGCATTAACACATTTTTTTTTTTCTGGCAGTTCCCTCCTTTCTATTGCAAAGGCCCCATATAGTTTCGATTTCCGACGATTTGATTGATTTATAATTGGTTCTTATACCTATCCAAATAAGTGTGTTATCTTTGGTTCATTAAGAATCATACGACTAATGCTAATTAAAATCAATATTTTATAAGAAGACGGGTCAATGATTTGTAATACGATTCGGCGATAATTAAAAGGTCGTTTTCTTAAAGGTTAAAAATTTTGGGTTTTTACAAATAAAAAAAACTTGCTGCTAAGCCCATTTTGTCCATGTTTGTGGCGTAGCTTTGGTCAAATAAAAACAGATTATGATATTGGTTAAAACTCCTCCTGTATTTACGATGCAAAACATATATCAAATTTGGTTATAAAAAATTTTTTTATTAACTTTAATAGCGTTGTTTCTTGTAATTATGAATCCTGAAATATGAAATAACCTATATCATGTAATATGCAGAAACTTTCATAAAAAGAAAATTTAAATAAAGTGATTATGTATAATTAAGGGACTCAAAAATGCTATTAAAGAAATTCTACAAAAACATTCCCTTTCGATTAGCACGTAAAAATGAAAATTGACCTTGATATATTAAGAAATTTATTTCGGATTACATATTGTGTGGAATAAATTGAATGATACAAATAATTTTTGTAACTTAATAAAAGGGTTCAAAAGAAATTTTCGTCAGATAAATTTCATTATTTTTGTAAAAAGAAAATTATCAAAGTTATTCCATATTGGATAATCCAAATTTTTTAATCCCATCGGATCGACGGTCCAGTTTCCCAAAAACGGTCCAGTTCGCCAAATATGGCAGGATTCTATTTTAAGGAGTAATGTTGTGGAGAAAATTAAAGCGTAAAGTTTAATTTGAATTGAACTTCATTTTAATTCTCTTTTCGGGTAAGATATTCAAAAAAAAAAATTATAATCTTTGAATCTTTTCCATAACATAATGGAAAGAAGTTTTCACTCATTGTTAAATAAATTAACGATCAAATTCACATATCAACGGTGCATCACATTGTGAAACGGTGTAAAATGATTATTATTATACACCTAATCGGTTAAGTAAAAAAAAAATCCAAATTATATGCTAAAAAATTTTGTTCGTCTCAATTTAAATAGGCATTAGCAATATTTAATGGAACAATGATTTCCGTCGGGGTTTCATTGCCAAGAAAATTACGAAATCATATTAGTGACACCTTAAATACGTAATAGATTTTAGAAACGATAATATTCTATTTTTTTTTTAAGCCTTTCATATTTTCAATTTTCGTCGTCGTTACAGACTTCCTTGAATTTGGATTTTGTACAACGTCCATTTTTCAAGTTTTTTTCTTTTTGGAATTATTGACCAATTTAATTTAATAGGACTTTTTTTTTTTCGATCAAATAAAATTTCCAAGAATCATTCTTTATTTGCTTATCGTTATTGATTTGTAAAATGAATTTGGGCGCTTTTAGAATTTAATTATTATCAAACAATAAAAAAAATTTTCAATTATATATATGTGGCTATGCAAATCATTTGATTAAATTTGGTAACGCCTAAGGTTGCTGGACGAAATCAAGAGTTTAGACAGACGTCTAAATGGTAAAAGTGAAACTTGGTTAAATTATATTAAAACCTTATTAAAAAATTTGCAAAATTTGGAAAAAGGTAAAACTATATCAAAGCTTATAAAAATGGCGAAACTATATCAAACACTTAGTAAAAATTTAGCGAAACTAAAGGTTTTACCATTTTGCCAAATCCAAAATAAGTTTAGACAAGCAACCTTAGTAACGCCAAAAAAATTAAATCATCCCAATTGGACGTGAACACTCAGATCATGATCGTGGCATTTGGCTTGTGGCTAAAGTCGTGTAACGAAAATCGCGTTCTTGTCGTAATTTAAGGATTTATGATGAGAATTAATTTGAAGCCCAAACTTAAAAATCTTTTTAAATAAAATGGGTAAAAGTTTATGCATAATCTAAAATAGAATGAAGCGAATATCTATAATATCTTCTATTCCGGAGTAACCCGTAATAAGGAAAAATAATTGAATAAATTAAGCCGAAAAGTTTGTTGAAAAAAACTTACAGATTTTACAGAAAATTAAATCTTTTCCCTCGTGTCTTTCTTTCTAAGCACACATGCTATGTTATTCGCGTTATCCTGAGTCATGACTCATAACACAAAAAAAAATAAGGGCATGTGAAACTTTAAATCTTTTCAATCCGTATTGATTTTATGTGATAAAAGACGTGATGGTTTAAAATACTCAACCGTTTGGACATTATAACATCTTACAATTAGGTCAGATTGATTAGATTACAGATATCACGTTGCATCGAATGTTGTGAACTTAACAATCGGATTGAAATATATAAGTCCTGATAAAAGACATTAGTACGACAGATTCTCATATGCAAACAAAAAAAAAGATGCAATAATAATAATAATAACAAATCTTTTCCATAAAAATATATCTAAATAGGTGAAATTCACGTTCCTTTATTGTCATCTAAATCTTTTTTTTATGAACCCTTGATAATTGATGATGAATGTTCTTAAAATAATTCAACAGGAGAAATAAACCTCTAAATAATATCCTTTAGAAGAATATGGTAGGATCGAATCCAATTTTGTAATAAAAAATAAATAAAGAACAATAATAACTGCATGAAATTTTTTGAGATTGAGTCTTTGTTTACTTTGATTACTATAATTATCTGTAAATTTATAGCTACATATAAATAAATATTAAATATTAGTACTATATATATACAACAGGCATGTACATAAAAAAAAAAAAAAAAAAAAAAACCTGATTTAGGACAGAATTTTTTTTTTAAAAAAAAGGAATATAAAATCCCATGAAAATTCTTTTGTATTGAACTTGTGGACAAAATCCACCTTATCTACCATTATTTTTTTTAAAAAAAAAAAAAAAATTATATATATATGCTCTTATGTATTTAATAATGTTTTAAAAATTTTATAAAGATATTATCGAAAATTTAAGCAAATTTATTTCGCGAATAAATTATGCGCATCATTTTCAACCAGCTTTGGACCAATCATTATTCGCGATTTTCAAATGAGCTTTTGGTAAAAACTCTCTTGACCTTCTCGCTTATAATTAACGTTGAAAAACGCTAATGTTTTTCAATATTTAATATATTTTATAGGATTTTTGATGCAATGTTTCAATTCGTACTCCTACGTTTTATATTTTAATCTCCCATGGATACTATTCGTATATCAAACAGTTCCTTTCACATGTTTTCCCAATCGATTTTACTTTTTTGAATTTCTTTTATTTTTTCTCGAATATATCGTCTTATTTGTTTACTTTTATTTGTTTACTTTTATTTTAATTTTTTGTTTTATTCTTTTTATAACTTTAACCTAGCAAACGCCTTATGTATACAATATGATTTTTTAAGATTTCTTACTATTAAGATTTTTTTTTTCTATATTCACTCTTAATGTAATGATTACTATTTTTTTGCTTCTATTTTTCGTGTCATATTTCAGGGTGAATATTAAATAACTTTCTTCGTTTTTTAAATAAAATATTATTCTTTTTATTCTTTTAATCAAATGATGTAAGGTCATGTGTCAGAAAATTAGCCACATTTAATGGTTTTAAGAGTAACGGTCATGTGATAATTATCGTCTTGAGTAACGTTTTTAATGCTTTTTGTGCGCCCCTAAATTGAGTTTAGATAGAAAACAAAAAAAAACAAAAGACAAACCGATGAATTCAAAATAATAAATAACACATAATAATTAACATTAATAAAAATAATAAAAATAAAATAAAATATAAACCGAAAAGAAAATATTCGGAGATGATCTTTTTCATCCGTAGGCGTAAGGTTAACAATGATCAACTGGAGACATCAAATTTCAACCCCACCCCCCACCCTCCTGTAAATCCATATAGCTGGCTCATAAGTTTCAATTTATGTTCATCTTTTTTACTTTATACAAATATTGTTAGCAAAAAGTTACGTAATATATTATTTAAACCGTTTATTATGATTGTGAGAAGACACGACATACTTTCATGATGCTATAAAATCACACTGATTTTTCGTTGAAAGAAAGGTTGTGGAGAAAAATTCACCATAAAAAAAAAAAAATATTACGTTCCTTTACAAAAAAAAATTCAGAATCTTTCGATTTAATATTTTGGTCCTCTCTCAATTAAAGATGACACGCGTAATGATTTCGTTGGTTTCTTTGATCTTTTAATTTTATGTCCAACATAAAAGGAAAACTGATCACTTCATTGTGATTCTTCAGTTTAAAAAATATTAAAAAGAATTTGCTTCTGTTCTTCCTTTTTTAATCACGTCATGAATTAAGAACGAATTAAGAACAAAAATTTAACACTTAAGGAAAACTATTCGTGTGCGGTTTAAATCGATTCTCTTATGAACTCCTTTTATTTTTGCTCAAAAGCTCTTTTTACATTTTCTTAGCGTATCAATATTCTCCTGTCAATTTCTTCTATGAACAAGATTCAATTAAAGATAAAATCTAAGAGAGACCGTTTTCAATTTTAAGAGGGATTTTAATATCTACTAATCCAGTTTTCCCCGGCTATCGAGTAATTAATCGGAATTCCTTTCGTAATTTTTTTTTTGATCCTTTTCTCGTTTAAAAGAAACAAAAATTAGTCATTTCTTCTCGTGTCGCTAATCTGTATATTTTTTTTTTTCTTTCGCTCAATATGAATAATTTACCCCGTAAATGTATTTTTTGATTTTCACCAGTTCAATCAATATTTTTTTATTTTATTTTAATTCTTCTGTAGATATGTTTTTTACCTTTAAGCTTTTTACTTTATATGAATAAATAAACAATAATTTTTTAAAAAAAACAAAAAAAAAACATGAATTCGTTCGTAAAACTGAATATTCCAACCCTACGTCTTCGTCCCTTGTTCGATTGCTTTTGGAAGAACATGAGGATTATTAATTCATATCCCACAGTACACAAAACTAATGTATTTGTTAGTAAAAATAAAATTAGAGCGCATTGTATTCATTTGATCATTTAATTACGTTTTTTGATGGTTTGTTTGTTATCAAATATCAAAATCAAAATCAAGTAATCAAGCTATTTCAAATGAGTAAGGTATAATGATATGGTTCCAATTGACTAACTCATTCAAATCTGAGTTTATTAAAATTGCTTGATTTGCATATGGTTAGGAATTTCTCCACAATTCTGTAAAGGTTTTCATTCTTTTTTTTTTTTTTTTAAAAAAAAAAAGGCACCAACTAAATCCTCTAATGCACATATTTCACGGAGTAGGGTGATACAAGTTTTAGAAACGTGGATTAATCAATATTAAAAAGAAAAAGAAAAAAAAAATTTGTACAAAAATATATAACCAAGAAAATTAACATTAAAAAGAAAAAATATATATACCAAAAAAAAAAAAAAAAATATCTAATCAGAAAATAGTTAAATTAAATCAGATCAAAGGTTGGTAGAAAAAAAATTTTTTTTCCATTGTTTCAATTTATTAGCAAACGTTCCGAGATTTTCTTTACGATGGACATTTATTCTTGACGATTGACAATTTCCATACCCTTTGTTGATATTACACGCACCGTACATCTTGTGGATACACAAGGTAAAATATGCTTGAATGAAAATGAACGGGACACCCGCCGCCCCCTTGTATAACACAAAGATTCTTTTTTTGACAATAAAATAATCAACGGACTTTCATTTTATTAATTTTGGCTCAAGCAGAGATTTAATTTACCTGATTTTGGTGCAATCATCCCTTCCTTATTAATTTACATTACCCTTTACCCAAAAAAAAAAAGAAAAAAAGTTATTATAATCATGGTTCCTTTTACGCGTGAATTGCGTAAAAAAATCTTGCAACGAAAATTTATCAATATGAATAAATTAGGTTAGAGGAAACTTAAAACATAATAATAATAAAAATGGGGTAATTTCTAATGAATTTATTTATTATACTTTAATATAAAAATTGATTCTAATGGGTTGAAACTGATAAACACTATGATAAAGTTTCGCATTTTAACGTTAAAACGAGGTATCAATCTTTATTTTTTTGGACATCAATGAACTTCCCGTGATAGTTAAAATGTGCAGATTATGCTGTTTATATATAAGAAAATATTTTAGGTTTATGCAATTGCATTTCGATAGTATGGCAAGGGGTGCATCAATAAGGTTTGGTTTTTTCGAATGGCGGGAAAATCCATTTGATAAGAAGTAATGATTATCAAAAGATCAATCAGCAAGCCACAAATTTCATCGAGGAAATGATTTTCATTGGTCAAACCTGTAACTGAACAAAATAAGCGAAGTTCGCATTTTGCTTTTTTTATCTAATGCAAAAAAGCCTTTCGAAAAGTTTTTAGAATGTTCACGATGGATAATTAGAATTACTTGTAGCACGTATTCAAAAGGTAAGTTGTAACACACATAATTTTAAATATATATCATTGATGAGAATAAAAATATTTTTATCTTTCTTATTTAGCTAGATTGACCTTTTTTTCACACAAATCTTTCCTAGTACAGTATTCATTCAATTTGTTAAATAATTTTTTAAAAAAAAAAATGTATTCTGAAAATCAATAGATCCCTTGGTTCTAGTCCGAGATTCCTTTTTTTTTTTTTTTTTTTTTTTTATTTTTTGTGAACATCAAAATAATTTAATAATAAATTCATCGAAAAAGATGTACAATAAAAAAAACAATAATAAAAAAAAGATAATTATTAATCTAAATTTAAGGTGTTATGTCAAAGTATTTACGTTTTTATTCGTTCTCAGAATTTATAGTACTTTATTTTTTTTAAGAACAAAAGGATGGTCAAAGAATTTGAGAACGTCACTAATTTCGAGTCCCTTGGAGAAAATTGCCGATAAAAGTCTGTTTTTGAGTAGTTTTTGTAAAATGCTTGCATGTTTTTTTTTCTAATACAAGAAAACTACATAAATCCATTAAATTTATTTTTCGATTTTTAAAATTCCACCAAATCTGTAATATTTTAATATTGACAAAATTCCATAAGTCCATTTTTTTTAATTTCGATTTACGCAAATCATACAGAAACTTTACAGGGACATGATATATTCTAGCGATCAATATTATCAGCGAATTAAGATTGTTGTATCTTCGTCCTATCAATTAAAGTTGTTTTACAAAGATTTGTTTGCTATATATACATTCACTACAAGGTAATTTTTTTTTAAATTTTTTTTTTTTTTTTTAAAATAAGAGACCAAAAAACACAATGCTCGTTGAATTATATATATACACGTATATATTTATAGTAGACCTTTAAATTTCGATCTTGTATTCGTAACATTTTTAATTTCGTCGATTTTTCTTCCCTTTTCATCTTTACATCATAATCTTTACATAGCGTGCTCACGTTTGTTCTTTAATTTGGTTATATTTTTCATTGAGCTACTTTTGTTATAAAATGGTATTACCTCTTTTAAAAAAGATAGAATTTTATGATTCAAGATCACTATGAAGGTATGTATGCTGATAAATAACATTTGATAATATGTTTTCACAAATTGAATGAGAATTTTTATGTTAATACGTTAACAATCTTTTGTATACATACTTTACTCAATTTCTTTTACGATTCAAATATCATAAAATATTTCTTTTAGTTAGTTCTCCAATATTTTTCTTGGATTTTAATTTTCTGCTTCTTGTAAGCTTTTTTGAGTGTATATATATATATATATATTAAAAAAAATTGATTGATTATATTTAAATAAATTTTGGAGATTTGATAATAAAATTTTACAAAATAAGAACCCGATTGTCATTAACTTTTTATTACTCCCACAAATCGGCTAAGTACACGCAATTCTCACGACTTGGCATTTCAGCGGTTTTCATTAAAACGTTCACCGTATTAAGTCGTTACTTGTATGATGGTAGGTTCGATTCGAAACAATTGAATATGGATTACATAATTTCTCCCCTATTTTAAATTTATCTCTTCAGCCGTAAAATCTTTAGATATTACACTCTTAGCATTGTTATTAAAATCACGTTACGGTTCATTTTGTATTACCATGACTCGTGACTTGCAATCCCCGTTTAGTGATTTTGACGCAACTATGATTATGACCGATCATTTAAGGTTGTTCTTGACCATCTTTCTAGTGGTGTAATATTGTAAAATGCCTGGACTCACGGTGGTGGTGGGTTAATGACAGCTGTACAGCACGTATTCCACCACCCTAGACCGGATGAATGGAGAGGGAGCGGGTTCTCAAATTTCACGTAATTCGTGTGAATAAGCCAGTGTTGTCATTGGGACGGGAACAGTCCAAGAATTTTAGCAACGTTCGGACATTGGGAAATTAAAAATGCCGTGAAATGAAATTGGGCATGCATATTCATAACTATTAATTCAAATACGTCGAGACACGTGAAAACATCCAAAAAAAATTATTACCCCGTGATTCAACAATAAATAACTGGAATAAAGCTTTTAATGGAAAAAATAAAAAGATGTACCCCAGCCCGACGTGTTACATAGTTCATGTGGCTACGCCACCGTCATTTTATTTAAAGCTGAAAGAACCTAACCTAGAACAAGTTTTTTGTAATAATTTATTTATAATTTATTATTTGTATAATTATATATTATATTTTATTTTTCCTTTATTTATTTACAAAAATTGTGAAACCATATTAATCGTTTTTAATCATCATGCAGCTTACCTTTTTTGTCCAGGCATTTCCGATGACATTCCAAGTGACACTTTAAACAAATTTAACTAGTTGTTTAACGATTATGAACCTAAAAATTATTTTTTGATAACTTGCAATAAAAATATATTAAAATGTTTCCTTTATCAAAAAAATACCAAGTTATAAAGAATTAAACCCACACGAAGCATCTTCTTTTTATTTATTTTTTTTAAATTTATTGATTGTGATTTATTTATTTATTTATTTTTTAAGAAATACAAATTTAATACTTTAATACGGCACGAGAATCTTTTTTTCATCAAAATGTCTGGGGTTGATTTACCCGGAAGGTCTCCGGTGAAATGAGTGTTACACGTTCAATGTCTGGGGTCGATTTGTTACGATCACGTGATCCATCACCGCCATTAAATTATTTTTTTATTTAAAACAAATTATTTTGATTTAACTTTTCTTTATAAAGTTCAAGATGAAATAATAAAGTAAATTTTGAATTGCGAGTGAAAAGAATAAATAAGGATAGTTACCGAGCATATTTGGAATATGATATGAAAGTAGCTTTTTTTTCTTACCAAATCATAACCACCCTTTTAGAGTACAAGATTATTAGTCATATTGAACTAATATTTGGAATAATGAATAAAAAAAAATGGTGCATTAAATTTTTTTTCCTTTGATCAAATCATGTACAAGATTTTATAATAATCATTTGATCACTGAATAAAGTGGATGAGCAACCTATATGAAAAAGGTTGCATATTGAAAGTAGTTTTTTGATCAAATCATGACATGTTGATTATCAATCATTGAATAAAGATTTTTGAATAGTGAATATAAAAAAAATGGTGCATGTCAGAATAATCTTTTTTTTTGCTTCTAATCATTTAATCGGGATTACTCAGCAAGTATTAAAATCTGAATTGTAACAGGTGCAGCAAATAAATTCAAAGCATTCTATTGCCTATTTGTTTCGAAATTAGCAGCCAAATTGGATTTGCAGCAAGATCAAATAATGTTATCATAACCTTTTTCTAGAAAAGATCATTTGAGAAAAATTTTTAACGCTACATGTAATTAAATGCAGGAGTAAATTCTGAGAAATAACGAAAGGTTACTTATAAAGGTTACATGGTTAACGATCAGCTATCAAGCTAAACTCTTAAAGACTTTTTTTAATCATGAAGAACAATATCTATCGATATTATTGCAGAATTTATTGTCTTTGAAAATAGATGAATGACACGAAAAAAAAAAGTCCCTGAAAATACAATTTTTACTAAATCTGCAGGAAGTTTATCAAAGTCATTCATTAAACCATGTGAAAAAAAAAATACCAAATTATTATAGTCTATATCCATAACAAACTTGACACGTAGTCCATAAGAATTTCATAAGCGATCATTACACACAGTTTGTTCATTTTGACAAATTACGCGTTATAGATTCATTAAGTTAAATTTAGAATTGATCCTAATTCATCGATAATGTAAACTTCTAAATGTTGGACACAAATCTTACGCGTAATGCTAAAAAAAAAAAATATTTTAATTTATTCGCGTTATAAAAAAAAATAATAAAGTTCCTTTGATGTCCTTATGATTTTAGATTTACATTTAAAAGTATTTGTAAGACCTAAACTTCTATTCGATGGTCAAATGATAAAGGAAAACCAGATTCTGACATTAAATGAAAATATATGAGACCATTGTAAATGTAACTTCATTACTTTGATGATAACGTAAATCCTTGTAAATCGTCCCTTCAAATCGCAAAGAAGTCTATTATTCGACGATTTAATTATAGAAAAAATCATCTTGATGTAAACTCCTTTTAAATAAGCCATTTTAAGTTTTAACGTGCAGATTATGAAATCAAATTATAAAGTCATATTTGATAGTCGAGTAACTTGCTTATTAAAAATATATCTTTAATATCTTTCAGAAAAGGAACTTTCTTTATTTGGATAAGTTCATAATTTGAAGTTTTTGTAATTGGAAATATCTTTATTTACTATTTTGTTTATGCAAAGCATTTAATTGGGCGATTCAGTGGATCAACTCCGATTATGTCCAACAAACGGGTTTTGCAGACCTCAAAATGGGTGATGACTTGGCCGATCCAGATACAATATTACTAAGCCCTTTGATAACTTTTTTTTCTTCCTTCCATTCGTCCATTTATAAAAAAATTACTAGGTTTTTTTTAGTCTAATAGATTAGGTCTAATCGAATCAGCTAGTCATTTCTCGATATCATTACTCGATTTTTTAGGGCTTCATTGCTGATTACATTTAATTCAGGAAATTAAAAAGAAAAAAATTCTGCAAACGCGAATGATTCTCTAGAAACTATACCCGTAATTGTTTATCATTACTTTACATATATACATTAATTCATGTCTCGTGTTTAAACCTAGAAACTATAAAAGAGTAAATAATTTCTTTTGTGAAAAATCGTGGCAGATTCCACCAACAAAAAAAAAAATCAAAAAAAAGAAGATAATAATAATAATAAAAAAAAAAAAAATTCTTTCAATTCCCTATCATCAATCAAGGAGTGTTCAATCGCTCTTTGAATAACATCTTTCTGTCCATAAGATGATATCTCGAACATGATTTGAACATTCAATTGGTAAGAATATTTCGATTATATAAAACTACTCATTTTCTAATTCTTCAATACGTTTTGTCACTAATTTTAACGTCAAATATGTTGAATAGAAGTGCAAAAATCTTTTTCATTCTTGGTTTCGCTTTAACATTTATTTCTTTTCATAAAAATGAGCAATCATTTTTTTTATATGTACGGTATTATGTATACATTCCATTTGAAACAATATTTTTGGGTTTTAAGATTTTTTACATATTTTCAATTATAAGCAAATAATTAAGTAATTAAGCAATTTATAAGATTAGAAACAGGAGCATAGGAAAACTTTGTTTTTTATTGAGAGCTACTCTTCATACACAATAAGGCGGGAGACGAGAACTTTTCTTTTACATATATAGATTAGACATTCGCTTATTGTATATACGGGTTAAGGGTAGCGTGAAGGTGTAAATAAAAAAATAATTGATTTTTAAAAACTCTCGTCTCACTCTTCTTTCCTAATATGTGTTACCAATCCGATAATTACTGTCAATGTCGTCATATCCAATTCTAATTTCTTTTCACCACGTAAATTTTTTTTTTCCTGTGCCAGTTAAAGATAACCAAATGAAAAGAAGGGTTTGCATTGCATATCCCGAAAATCCATGTAAAATCACCAATCATCATCTTACTATAAATCCAGCATTATCATAAATTATCGAGCCAATCTTTTCCGTGATATGATTTACCTTTATATCTTGAAATAAAGTATGAGAATTTAAAGAACTGTAAAATCAAAATAATATCCTCCTAGCAACATATAAGTTTGAAGTAGTCCTTCATTCTTTTTGACCTTCCTCTTGCTTGTTGAAGATAATTTTACGCTTGATGTCCAATCATAATTTATACTGGTATCAGACATTTAAAATTATATTCCGGAGCAAAGTTTTGAATCACAGCCAAATAGATAAGGACCGATTTCCGTTGAGGAAAAGTAAATTTGTCTCGGACCTTGACATATAATGTCGACTTGGAATCAAAAAAAATATATATTTGAAACAAAAAGATTCGTTTTGCCACTGCAACAATACCTGGGGTATTATCAAGCAAAAGACCTTGAAATGACCTTGAAATGACTTCAAATGACCTTATTATTATATTATTATAAATTTCAAGTCAAATGACCTTATAATTTGCCATCACTGTTATCAAGAACTCGGTTTTGAAGTTGAATAGTACCCGCGGGTATTGTGTTATATTGGGGATATACTATGTGGGGAAGCGTAGAAAATAGTAAAAGTGAAGGTCTTTATACTGTTAATTTTTAATTAATTATTTAATTCAACTTTAATAAATAATATTTAATTTTTCGACATGAAATAAATTTTTTTTCTTTAAAAACTCATTAATAATTGCACCCCGGGTATTGATCAATTTCACTGCGTGACGGGATACTATATGCAGTGGCAATCTTTCTGAATCGGGCCCTTCCGGGATAAGCGGAAAGTTTACAGATTATCAGATTACCAATAACTTCAAATGTCCTTTTTTAGAATCAGGTTAAACCTGATAGGAGAATAAAGAAAATTTCGTAATCCCTTTTTCTCTTGTGAAAAAATAATAGAGCGATAAGGAGGTAACTTCGTCGGATGCAACTAATTGAAGTTATAGTTGAACAAGTAGCATAAAATTTAAGTTTAATCGATAACTGCAACCTTTATGCACTTAAATGTAATTATGATGAATTGATAAGAACAATGAGAAATATATGAGATTTGAATGAAATCCATAATAAAAATTTATACGACCAATGAGATTGTATTAACAAAATAATTTAATTAAATCAAAGTTATCATTTGCGGTCACAAAAAAAAAATCGTGCACAAGGTGATTGATTATCCAATCAACGTATCGAATTCGTTTACAATATTGCAAGAAAAAAATAGAGTATCCCTAATCCTTTGCATCAAAATCTACAGAACTTATATGTAAGGAGACTTTTTATTATTATGCTGCAATATAGACAATCATTGGCTGGAATGTTAAATTTTGATATTTAAAAGTTTAAATATTATTCCATTTGATTACAAATTGCGATAAATGATCAATTGACATCCATCTCGTGCAACAAATGTTAATTAAAAATTATTACAAAAAAAAAAAAAAGATAATTTAGTTCATTTTATAAACTATTATGGAAATTCGATATCATTGAGCATTGCAGAAACCATAATTAATGTTGTATCGCATTTAATATGTTCTCAAGACTTGTGCACGAACCACCAGTCAATTCCATTTTAACATGTCTGAATTCTAGTCACGAGGCTGTGCTCGTTTGGAATTACTCTTTTGGGTTATTGTAAAGGAAAACGACCACGAATACTCAAAAGTCGGATACTTTCTAACCCATTTTGGTTGAAATTACATTTAAAGTGATATATCAGGCATCATAAAAATTTTTGCTTTACTCACACGACGATTCAAAATATATATAAAAGCACGCAAATTTTCGTTGAAAGGAGCGGGTGTGGTTAAGTCCACCAAATATTCCATTCGATTATTTTTTTAAAAAAACATTAAATTCATTTAAAAATGATGATGTGAATTATAAATCTCGTTTAGTAAGGATTAAATTTTTTTTAATTTTTTTTTTTGATACAATGAGTTATTAAAATGTGTTCTATTCTTTTCTATTCTATTATATTTTATTTTATTTAGCTACTTGGTATTATATTATTCTAAGGAATTCGTATCGGCTCATTTACGACTTTAATGCGTTTTATTACTTTCGTTAATTCGTGATCGTGGCACATGTCATTCAAAATATCGCAAGTGTTTAATTAATATGAAGTCTAATAGGGTATTAATGTTATTTCAATTATTTCTATAAAATTATACTTTTTGTTACCGTTGTTATATTTTTAAGAACAGGAAAATTAATTACAGATATTATTAAGAGATCTGTAGCAACTTTTTTTTTCCCTTTTTTTTCATCGATTTTCGTTTTTAAGAAAAGCCAAGAAAGAAAAAACAAATCTTTCCATTTAGAATCAATCCATTTACTTTTATTTTAATTTACTTTTTTTTAATTTTTTTTTTTATGAATAGATTTTTTTTTTATTACTAAGGAACAATAAATTTTAAAAGTTTATGTATTATTATTATACAGCATAATGAATATTGATGTGTAATGCAACGTGTATCACCAGCATAAATCTATAAATGGAAGGTCATATCTCATGAAAATTATGCATGCAAAAAAAAAAAAATTTTTCAACAATGGATCATTAACTCTTATTATAACAAGTTGTCATTCGAATATAATATATATGCATGCGTACCATCCTTTTGAATATAAAAAAAAGTTGTCGTTATTGGCGCTTGAAGAAAGGTTTACTCCATTATTGCTGTGTTACGAACTCGCGGCCCGAATTTGTAATGATGTTTAGTTTACCTTTTTATTATGTGACGAAACCTGATTGTCGAAGATAAACAAACCCGCAAAATATGGTTTAAAAAAATCCTTTCATTACATTTTTATCTTAATAATTTTTAGCGCGAAAATAGAAACTAACGCGTCATGCATGACACGTAATCAACAGTCGTTATTGCTAGATTATGTCTACCTCGACTTTTCCAGGTACGGGCGCGTCAATTCTATAATATTAATTTATACATAATTTCAGATCATATGGACATTAGAAATAAATAATCGAGTTTTAAAGGTTGATCTCACATGTAAACAGATCGACGACAACCCGCAGCAATAAAAATATATTGTTTTTTAAAAATAGATTTACTGATAATTTTTTATTAGTTAAACCTTTTTACTGCAAAGAAATTCTTTAATAATTGAAAATATTGTTTATACCTAAATTTACCTGTGATTAAAAATTTTTCATTTTCAAAGTAGTTTTCACCCTTTCTACCCATATATGAAAATAGATGAAATCAAAGAATTATTATTAGTAAAAAATGATAGATTTATTTTTTTGATATAACCTAAATATATTAATATCAAAATTTATAATTGGAATATTTTAAATATAATATCAACTTATTTCAAATTTATATTATTTAAAAAAATTACTTAAAATGATTCCTTTAAATAATATCTTAGATTAATATTTTCAAATAATTTTTCTTTTAAACATTTACTTAAAGTATGCTAAATAACCTATTTTAATTATTATTTATACTTATTCAAATTACTAAAAATTAGTTTATAACAATAAGTTCTGCTGTAATTAGAACTAATTTTGATAAGTTTAAACTATTAAATTTAGTTACAAAATAATTATTTTAGATATTTCAAATAATTTTACTTAGATTGTTTTAGATAATCATTTTTAAATATTTCAAATAAATATTTCAAACTTAAATGATCTAAAATTTATAAAAAGTAACTGATTTTAATTATTAATTTAAAATTTTCTTTTAAAAATTAGATCTTTTTTACAAAATATAAGTTTAAGTAAATTCAAGTAATTAAAAATCTAGTAGTTATAAAAAGATAAATAATTGTAATTAGTTATCAATTTTAAAAAATAAATTATTTTTATTTAATGATCTAAAATTTTAAGAATCTGATATCTACTGTTATTTTACAATACTAATAACTAAAAAATTAGTATTAATGTAAGATTAACAAAAGGATATAACTTTAAGATTTATGAAATATTTTATGAAGAGCTCTGAATGTTAACACAACCAAAATATAATTTAAAAACAAAATGTAATTATGAATTAATATTAAGTAATTAGAATTTTATTAAGTAAAAAAATTTGTTATAATTGTATTTGTTAGTATATAAATATATATAAATATACTTATTAATTATCTTTTTATTGATAAAACTAAGTAAATTCTTATTATTAATAAAATTCTAACCCTTAAACTGTATAGCAGGCAAATTTGCCTACAAAATTAAAAAAAGTATTAATTTTCAAAAAATTTATTATAATAATTTTTTAAAAATTTTTTAAAAATTTATGCTTTTATATTAATTGAATTATTTTATTATTTAATTAAAATCATAAATTTCTTAATAAATTATAATAAATTTAAAAAGTTTATCATAGATTAATCATAAAATTTTTTAAAATAAATTTTTTTAAAAATTACAAAATTTTAGTTTTAAGTAACATTAAATTTTTTATTATATAATTAAAAAACAAAACATATTATATAATATATTACATATTTATAAAATTAATTTAAAAAAATAATTTTAAAAATATTAATTATTTATAAAAGTAAATTATAAGATAATTTATAATACATAAGCAGACAAATTTACTTACAAATCCCTATGATCTAAAGAATATTTTTTATATTTTTTCACTCTAGATTTTTTATTAATATTAAATCTTTTAATTTATAATAGAATATAACTTTATTTAGCAAAATTAATGACATATAATATAATTATATTATAAATATTACATATAATCAGAATAACATATGTAATCTGAATATAATATAATATACTGTATAATCTAAAAATCTATAATCTAAATATCATATATAATCTAAAACCTAAAATCTAAATATCATATATAATTTATCCATTTTTCTATATCAGGTATCCTTTTTTATATTCTAATTATGTCTTTAGGTTTTTTTTATTATTTGTATTCTTATGTTAATATAATTTTATTATTATATTATAATCTAATTACCATATATATATAATCTAAATACTATACTTTTCTTCTTGTTTCTGAATTATTTACATACCAAAATCTATATTAGATTGTTAGCCTTCTGTAGCTATTTAAGTATCTGATTTTATATCAAAAAATACTAGCTCCTTATGTCTATTTGGATGTTAGATTCTATATTAATGTATTTACCTTTTATACATGTTTTATTATTTATCAAATACAAAAAATATTATATTAGGTGATACAGTAAATTTA